CTTCGCAGGGGGGTGCTTCACCCCGAAAGGGGCCGCTTTTCACAGACGCTCGGGGACCGTCGAGATATACCTGTGCCAAACTCCAAAGGTGGCTGCATACGGCGGCTACTGTTTCTACGTCTCTGCGTACGCAACTGCCACGCCCTGCGCGCTTACAGGGTGAAAATCCCCTGTGGTTCGTTACATCCAGGATGAAACGGTGCCTATGCAGTCATACAAATGCAGTCCAACAACAAGGATCACAGCATTCATTATAATTTCATTTAGGAAAGTTTCATTCCATATACAACACTCATTACTTTCATTCTTTTGTAGTTCTTTGATGAATGAGGTGTATCCATGCTTGGAAATAATGCCTCCTTTCATTTTGACGACTATATGACACCCAATTTTAAGCAAACTTTAGATGTTCTATTTATACTTGTGATAAACAAGAGACATGTTTATCGATTAAACCCGAAGTATTTAACCTTCAGTTGTTTCTATAGTCTCTAGTGAGGACCAACGATTGTAAGTATCAATTAGACACATCACAAATTATAAACATTGTGAAATATGAACATTGCGCATAGTCAGTGATGAAATCGTTCTGTTTTGTTCCTTCTATGAAGCAAGCAAATTGACTGAGTGAACGTCCCTCTTTACGCAGTCGATCAGACCAGTGGCGGCATCTGCCCCCAAAAAGGCTCACTCACACCGGAACTCGGCGAAAGAGGTGGGGTATTAAACTGCTCGAAATAGCCGTGATTTCGCGGAACTGAGGCGAAATCAAGAGTGGCATACCGTCTTACAAGTTGTTATGGCTGTATAAACAATATTATAGCATTTATTATGCTACAGTGTGACAAGAACAAGAAAAAAAATATTCAGGCACTCATACAACAAGACAGCGCTGAGTATCAGCTGAATGACTGAGAAATACACCTTCCGGAAATCATTTCTAAACTTTTGCGTTAGTAATTTTTTCATTCATGTTTATCGTAGTTAACTGTACAAAGGTGTGCAGATTTGCCCTCCCTATATAAGCGTGTTTTTATGATTTAAAAAAATCTAAACATTGTCAGCGCGGTGTCCTGTGATATGTATGTCCTAATATTCTTCCACGTTCTTGTCGTGCTGTAGCATAACAAATCAGCATGAACTGACCCGGTTTACTTCACCTTTAAATATATTAGCACGCCTCCCGCAACTGTAATTCGCGCCTTAGGTCATTAGCACCTAACAATAATATATCGCTCGACATATTCCGCTATGGCTGTTTAGTTTGACATTAAAAATAACCACCTAAGGACCTAAGGACTTGATGGTTTGTTCGGACTCGAGGTTAACGTAGGCGCTTCTAAATGGCACATTAGAAGCGCCTACGCTTGGCTTATGTATTAATTCAAGTTGCTGAATATGTACACATCACCAAGATCACCTTTCTTGTGGGTAGCAGGCCACTTCATCGCATTACACGGGAATGACAGGACGACTGAAGCGGCAGAACGCGCAGATGAACATCTCGCTATTCCATAATTCAGCTGTGTTCTGACAACGCATGAACAAACTCTGCAATAAATTTTTGATTGCGTCATGATTAGATGACATAAATACGACTAGACGTATTCATCAGAGATAGGCAATTAATTAAAATTCATAGTTCAACTGGTGGAAGGAGACGTAAAAAATTTGTTTCATTGAATTGATGTGTAAACTTGTGAAAAATTGGCATTAATTGTTCGAAACATTCTGTGTAAGTCAAAGATAACGTCTGAATGAGCATACTTTTTATGTCTAAGACAAACTCTTAGGTAAGTCTATCCACGTCATCAACTACGACAATAACGGCGACACTCCGCGAGCAAACTGAGAAACAGGAAAAAAAATACACGAAAAAGAAACTGAATGAGTTTAACTAAGAATGACTGCCAGTTGAGCGTGTTGGTTTTAGCACCTCACCGACATGAGGTTAACCAAGCTAACACTTCTGTCTGCTTTAACTACATTCTGAGATTGTGTGAGGGCAGAACAGATAGGACGGATGGAAAATTGATTGTCCCACTCCATAAAAAGATCCCACCTAGTGTCTGAACCCTAACTAACTCTACCGTGTTCGATCTGCGTTGGCTGTAAACTTATTTCGTAGCACACAGCGTGTTTAAGAATCGTTGGCTCTATAGAGACAGGTCTTTTTTTCTGCATATATTACATAAAAAATAACAAAACGATGGCAGCACAATCATGTCGGGTTAGTTGTTGGTCGATGATAACATGGAAATAACAGTGCGCATTTTGACAAACAAACCACACATGTGCCCTGTGCTGAATTCTCTACGTCATCGTTAAATGATCGCTGTTTTGACCTTAGTATGGATCACTACATTAATTAAAACACCTGCGAAAGACTTCTGTTGCGTACAAAAATATTTTCATTATAATAAAGAAAGTGACTGGTGACCGCAGGTAGTTACGGTTGTTTTAATGGTATCGTCACGAGTTTCGTTTTGCCATGAGAAAAAAAAACAAAAATGGGGGGAGGGGTGAAGCATGCATGAAAGGCTGTTTCAGCTCCAGCAACATAAACCTTGGGAGAGGCGAATCATGCAGTGTGCTCTGCTCTTTTCCGCAACAAAATTGCTTCTTATTGGCGATGAGAGATAGAAAAGGAAGACCGAGGCAATTTGACACATAGTTTTGAGATAGATTTCTACGATGAGGCACCAGTGGGGAGGGGAGGGGAAGGGTGCCAATACTGAAACCGGGCATGTAGGGAAGAGAGTTTCCACTCCATTAACATTGTCAGACAACTGCGTAGGAATGCAGCTGACCCTATAGGAAGTTTTCGTTTTTTTTTATTTTTCCCTACCTGCATAGTTTCAGTTTTCCTAAGGCACGTTGTGTTTCAGCTGCCCAGACGTCGTTGGATATTTGTTGGGCGAACTGTTGTCTACATTATATTCAGCGGAACGGGAGCTAGTAAGCACTCCACAGATGTTGTAAAAAGTCGTGTTTCAAATAGATGGTTTTACCATAGATATGCATGTTTGTGTCTGGCTTTAGATTAGAAGCCCCGCCGCGATGGTCTAGTGGCTAAGGTACTCGGCTGCTGACCTGCAGGTCGCGGGTTCAAATCCCGGCTGCGGCGGCTGCATTTCCGATGGAGGCGGAAATGTCGAGGCCCGTGTGCTCAGATTTGGGTGCACGTTAAAGAACCCCAGGTGGTCAAAATTTCCGGAGCCCTCCACTACGGCGTCTCTCATAATCATATGGTGGTTTTTGGACGTTAAAATCAATGGCTTTAGATTAGAAGCTTGAATGCCTTGATAAATTTCGTCGGGGAATCTTACACCACTCTAACCAAAACATATTATTTTAGGCATCAACAAAAAACATTTAAGAAAAGAAAATAAGACAACCACCAGTTTGTAGCGGGAAGCCACAACGAAATCCATACGGATTTCTCAGAAACAAAAGCTTCTTAGTTGCCGCAAAATTCTTCCCGGTCCATGGTTCGAACCCGGGACCAACGAATTTCCGGGGTGGTCACTCGACCAATTGAGCTAACAAGGAAACTAGCAAGTAACAGGGCGAAATCAACCGACAACTCTAAGCATATGGACACCAGTACTGCAAATGAATTCTCCAGAAACCCGCAGGGTGGAAAAGAAAACACTGCTACAAACGAGTGGTTGTATTCCACCCTCTCTTAACTCCTCCACCATCTTGCAAGCTTCCGGAGAATTCATTTACAAAAAACCCTCAACTCATAATATGTACTTTGTGTACCAGTGGCAATTAGTTGGATTGACCGATTTTTTAGGACCAATGCCAGTTCATGATATATCTGGAGGACGACATGATATACCGACAAGCCGAGATCCTAAGGTGTTTCACTCCTAAAACAGGAAACGTGGTATGTTGTAGAAGAGCTATAATTAATGACCTGAATTAACGGCCTGAGTAACGGCCCGTGGCCTGAATGTCTTTGTGGCGTTGCAGAAGCGTAATCCACTGTACCACATCTCCACACGCGTTGTATCTTCCGTGTGCGATTGAAAGCGTGCGAGGAAAAAGGAACGTGCCGCCATCAATCGTCGACAGAAATGTCCAGGACAGGAGAGAAGGGGCTGGTGGCTTCGGCAAGAACTAGTATACTTTAATCCGTGGAACGCTGTCGCAAGCGCGCTCTAATGACAGGGATCAGAAAACGACTCGTACGTTGGCACGTGCTGGGTCTTTCCACTGAGTTTGCGTTGAAGCGATACATTGCACGTAGGTCTTTGTGCTCGCACAATTTCGTCTAATCGGATGCTACAGGAGTTAGCTGCCAACAATACTTCGTACACCACTCCAATTCGTTTCGGCCGCATTCACTGCTTCGTCATGGCGGCCAAACGGACTTCTTAGTGAGACGACGGGTATTAGTGGGACGATGTGCTAAGACGAGAGCGTTTAATGGCCGATACTCGCGTTCGTCCGTTGCACCGTCCGTGCCCTGAAATGGTGCCAGCTGGGGCCTCTCTCCCTCACACTCTCTCAGCAATCACGAGATGGTATAGAGGAGCATAGCAACAATTGCGCCGCCACAGCTGTGGCCCCTCTCCGTTACACTCTCTCATCAACCCGTGGTTACTGAGAGAGTGTGAGATAAACAAAGAAAGAAAAGAAAAATAAACAAAATAATATAGCATAGTCAGGTGAATGACCATAGGCTTTCACCGATCACACTTCGGAATTTACAAAGTGGGCTTCAACGTTCTTGGCGTTGCAGCCAGCTGTCTAAGCAACTGCTCTCGCCACTTGTGACGTCAGACACACACTTGAACATACACGCGCGCACGCCTGTAAGGTCACCGCAGCGTTTATGTACGCTTGGTGAACATAAATATACGTAAGCAAAAGAGTTTGAAACATTTTGAAGGTGGCATTATAGGTCTGTGCGTGTGACTAGCAACTCAGCGTCAATAAAGACACCGTTCCGACTAGGCCGCACCGTAGAATTAACTGGGCAGAAAGGGTTTTGTCTTTTTACAATATGTACAAATGATTTTATTAACAGTCACGGTGAGCGGGGCCACGAATGGTCCCGCGGGCAGCCGCGGGCGCGCGATGTCAACAATATATTACACGATCTCGGAGAGCATGGCCCTTGTGCCTTCCCGTGCGAGCTTCGTTCGAGGGCGTTCTTGCGCTGAACCGTGGTGGGTGTGCTCTCGGTGCACTGGTCTGCTTGCTTTGAGGGAGGCAGCCTCGCAGTGTTTGCTGCGACGACTGCAGCGGTGGCTGGATCACAGAATGGGTTTGAGAAAATCTGCAAGAACATCGAAAAAGATTTGTTGCGAACTTAGAATTCTGTGAATTCGAATTATCGCGATCTAACGAGTGAATGAGTGGCACCTGTGGTATACTCGAATATGCTAAACATTGATCGCTTTCATTTTATTATCGCATATTGTTTCTACGCTTCTAGAATAGTATAAAAAATATTGTGATGGACACGCACAAGTGGGACGAAGACAGAGAGATCAGCGGAGCTTTTCTCTTTTTTCTCCTGCTCCCATTCCGAAGTACATATGGCTCTACATGCTCCCTCTTTTCTATCTAGTTTTGTTTTTATTTTTTCTCTGTTTTTATCTTCTTTCTTTCTCAATCTCGTTTTCGCTCTACTAGTTCTCCTGATCATTTCTCTCTTTCTTCCGTTTATTTCTCTCCGTATTTCTACCCTTTCTCTCTCTCTCAATTAGTTCTCTCATCCATCGGAGTTATTAAATCCCACCAAGAGAAATCGTCGTACGCCCCCTGGAAATGAAGCAGAAGATGAAGAGGACAAAAGGATCGCATACTCGTCCATGATGATGATAATTTTCACGTTACGCTATGCGGCACACCGACAAGCTTAACATCACCGCTGTAACGTATTTTCTAACGTCTCCTTCAATTCCTTACCTGTTAAAAAATCACATTTTCAGCCTTGCTTTACCTTCGTCTAGCTCATATTAAAGTGGGACACTTATATCTACACTTAGTGAGTGAAATAATCCTTGGTTTGACCTTACCTGTATCCTCATACACGCACGAGACAAACACATTTTACTTTCCTTGTTTTTTGTTCCTATATTATTACGGAACAGCACGCTTCAAATATGAGGTGGCTCGTATAAAAATCACTTCAACTGGGTACAAATAGTGAGATATTCTGAGCTAGCAATCATGAGCTCAGTTTAAGTACAATGCGCAAACCTCGTTTCGATGATTTTTTCGTCTAGCTGTCATTTCGTGCTCGTGCAGCGAACAAAGTAGTTAATGTTCACCGTGAGGCACCAGTTGACTCACCCTTTTATTGCCATCCACCGTGTCCTCCGTGGCCGCCGCCACCGCCTCCGCCGTAGCCGCCTCCGAATCCACCGCCACCACTGCCTCCTTCGGCGACCTTGACGACCTCGACGCTGTGAACCTGCGCACCTCCACCGCCGCCGCCGTGTCCGCCACCGAAGCCTCCGCCGTGGCCTCCGCCGCCTCCGGATGAGTGTGTCTTGGTCTCCTCGTGGACGGGAACTGCCTGAAGGTTGGCACCACCTCCTCCACCGCCACCATGGCCTCCACCGAAACCACCACCGCCGAAGCCGCCACCACCATGTCCTCCGCCGAAACCGCCGCCGCCGAAGCCGCCGCCGCCGCCATGTCCTCCGCCGAAGCCGCCTTGGCGGACAAGGCAGGTTTCGCAATGAACGTGTCGTTATCCTAATTGTTTGACATATATTCAGCGGCATATCTATGCGAATTTTTCTTCTCTCTTTATCCTTGCTTGAACAACCTATCAAAGCACGCCTCTCTTCCGGTTAACCTTCGTACCTTCCTTCTTTTACATCTCTCTTCTCGCTGGAGACTCTAAGTGCGCCACTTCAGACATGCTATGCGATTTGTCAATAATTCTAGCAAATGTTACCTTCCTTATTTCCACAGTCTCAGTTTCACGTGTAAGATCACAAACTTGGTAAAGGCTACTTAACCTCCTTCCTTCCTTTCTGAATTCCCCTTCAATCTCCAGTATTAGATAAGCATAGCTTGGAAGAAAAAAAAACTTCAATTAGGAGACGGTCGTGAAGGGGAATTCAAGGTCTAATTCGTAAATGCCTTCGGTCCAGAGATCTGCTGGCTTTCGCCACCCGGTGCACCTGATAACGTAATATAACTTAGAATGGTGGCGGCTTCGGCCAGATCGTATGTCAGTGTGTCGGATAAATGTTTTAACAATACACTTTTGAATGAGCCACACTAAACAGTGGCCTATCTTAACGTTTTCATTGTTTCTTTGTTGCATTTTGCTTAATTTTTCAGTGGGTTTTAATTCACCCTGTTAAGTGTGGCACGACAAATGTTTCCAGTTTCTCACGCATCACATAACTTCTCCGAATCGACCACTCTTTCCAAATTACACCAAACAATACCATTCACTTTAGCCTCTATTTCTTCCCTATATTCACGATATTCTTGACTAAATCCTCGTTTTGTGCTAATTCTTCTTTTTTTCTGCAACTTGTTGTACCTCCCTTTCCATTTTCTTTTTTTTTCAATACTTAAGGACTAAGGTCTGTTTAATCAAACAGCCGAGTTTGTAATCGTCTTACCAAGGAGCAAAGGGCATGGCTTGTAATGAATACGGGATCGGATAAACATGGCTAATAATGGATACGTGATCGGATAACTGCCCGCTTCTTACAATGGTCTGCGTGTATGTTCGCGTTGCGTCTTTCAATGTGATGTTATTTCTCCTACGGCAACATTAAACGTTTATATTACTGCATAAAAACTCTACACTTTTTTAAACAAAAAATCTGAAGGCACGCCATCACGTCCGGCATGTATGTCACGAGCACCCCCCTCCTGCTTTTTGTTTTGTCTGTTCGTTTTTTGCACTCACCTCCGAATCCGCCGCCTCCACCGCCTCCGCTGGATACGGCCTTGACCTCGTAGACTTCGTGACCGCCGCCGCCGCCACCGCCTCCGAAACCACCTCCGGCGCCGCCGCCAAAGCCACCACCGAAACCGCCACCGCCTCCTCCGCCACCGCCACCCTGAACTTGGGCTTGGCCTTCCATGGCGACGATGTAGCCTACGGGACCGACGCGAGGCCTGATCGGCTTGCTAGGGAACTTGTTGGGGATCTGTGGACCAGGAAAAAAATCAGGCGAATGTGTCATTTATAAAAAATACTTGCATTTCAATCATTGCGGTTAGGCCCACATCTTCTACAAGCATCCCAGGTGCGACAGCCACATCTTTAATAGAGGGGAAATGCTATAGGCCTGTGTACCTTTAGGTGCACGTTAAGCCCCCCCCCCCCCCCCCCGGTGGTTGAAATCTCCGAAGAAAGTCACTACGTCCACGCTAATAACCATATCGTTGCTTTGTGACGTAAAACCCCAACAATGAAAATGATATTCTATGGCAAGCTAAATGTCCCTAGCGTTTGAATTCGTGTGTGTATGTGTGTTGGTTCTTTACCTATTCTTTTTTCATTCTTTTCTGTCTTGAATTTCGTTTTCTTTCCGCCAGTGCAGTGTACTAAGCCAGGTAATATCTGGTTGTGCCACTGTTTATCTTACAATATCCTCCTGAAATTTTATCTCCAGATGCCCTGCTTATCTTTGTGCACTTATTCCTATACACTGCGTTAGCCTTGATTGTTTCTTGACCAAGAACGCTGATGTACCGCCATTCAATTCGTCGTGCTTGTTTAGTTTTTTTTTTTTTTGCTCCTCTTTCTACCTTGACTGCATTACTGCGCAAGCAGTTTCCTCCCCTCAATGCTTGATGAATGGAACACCTCCACCGTGTCAAGACCTTAATCACATGTTTGCGTCATGACCCTACTCAATTGATTGACCCTGCTCAAATGAAGCAATTGTTGCTTCGTCGCATTAAAAAGCTAGGAAAACCTGCAAGTAAAGACATCATGTGCTTGATCATTGTAAGAATGGTATGCCCTTTATGAAAGGTTGAGGCAATGTTACATATGGCATATTCAGTTGGCTGATCTGGTCCTCTGGCTCGGAGTTGCCGGATGCCGAGGCAGCTCACAATCGGAGCTCGCGAAGCAGCGTACCAACCGAATATGTCGACAATCTCAGAACAGCTAGCAGCGCGCCTGTAGCGCCACCGTGAAGCTAGCGCTGAAAGCTTCCGGGTAAACATTCCTCTGCCGCATCGACAAAGGGCGGTGATCAGTTCAGTGTACATCTGTGACATGTCTGGGCGTGGCAACAGCCTTCTGAGCTCAGATCAGTCCGGTAATCATGATCGCCCTAGCTGCCATATTCAAGGCAAATCATTGGCTATGTACGAGCTGCTGTAACGACAGCATTGACGTTTTCTCCATCATCGCTAGTTGCCTGTATTTTGACATGGCGCATTTATAGCTTGGTAACTCTAGAGCGCTAGTATATTTGAGGCACTATTGTAAGCGTGAACGCACGTGCACGAAGTGTTGCGCGCCCGGCGATGTCCCATTTCGAAATGCGCTCGCAGGTGAACCGCGCTGTTGGCGCGGTTCACCTGGTTCACCTGCCGGCAACCACGTGATTTACCGGTCTGTGTCACGTGATTCGTCCTCCCGGTCAGATCGTGCCATGTCTCACTTTTAAGTCAGAGTGGCCGGGAACGCTCAGCCAGAGGCTGATACTTCTAGCGAAAAAACCAAATGTAGTCCGAGCACTCGAATTCTACCAACCGAAGGCGCAGTCACTCTTCGGAGCGCTCCAGAACGCTCGCAAACGCCCAACCGAATACGCCGTAAGACAGCGAGCGAGGAGCAAAAAAAGACGTTTTATTTTCCACCTGTACAGGTGGAAAAGGGTAAGAGCAGACAGAATAAAACGAAGGAGAGGCCGAATCCCGCATACACTTAGGAGAGCGCATCAAGTCTATTGGCGGTAGGAGAGTTGTGAGGACTTTCAGTATTTCAGTGGCGCTTTCCTTACCTTCTGTGCCTTCTAGGCACCTATTCCAGGAGCAAGGAACTGTCTGTGCCTTATCTGCTAACACGGCGTATAAAGCACAATCAGTCCTCTCCAACGAAGACTCTGAACGGTATAGGTGTTGCCCGTTGCGCACGTGCCGCGTCTTCTGTGGCGGAGAGCCGGTCCGTGTCAACTGTGAGGTCAGTGCTCGAAACGACGACGCCCCTGGAGCGCTGCTCGAACCGCCATCGTCCTGTCGCGTCCCGCCCGAAGAGATGGACCCGCAGTGCCACCGCCGAGAGCGATTATCCCGGTCGTTATGCGGAAGTTATTACGAAGCAGCTGACTCGCTGCTATATTCTCCTCGGCCGGATATCGCCCACATTTATATCGTCCCGGCTAACAAGGAAGATACAAACACGCACACACAACAAAGACACGCCGAGCACGGTATACCGGGTGCATCCTGTAGGTGAAGCGTAATTTTTTTTTCAGTTATTTTAGCTCGCGTCGAGCGTTCTTATTGTGAAGTTCGCGCACGAAGGGCGATATTCGTTTTGAACAAGTTTGCTTCCTTTGTGGTTCTTCCGCAAGCTCCCAGCCGCGTTTTCTCCCTCTTGCCTTTTACGTTCATCTTGTTCCCTTGAGCAATGCCGCCAAGCTCCCGCGATCGTGAGCCGTGTGCCATGTTTCCGCCTTCCACGGCGAGGAAAAAGGAAAGACTCTTATCGTATCCGACTCGCTGCTCGCTCCCGGGTTTGTCAACATAGGAAGTGATGTGTAGCCGTTAGAATAACTTTTTCGGGGACAGAGCTATCGTACAGATGGATGTTTTGGTACACAAAGCACGACCTCTCCAATATTTTGAACAGTAGGTGGCCTCTTTCAAAAATGGATATGGAAACACAAGAGAAATCTGATCATTACACAACTTGCACACTGTTCTTAATTTGCGGCTTACGAATTCGTCCTAAAGTAAAGTTCCTTATAGAATCAAGGAGGGAGAGTTTCCTTTTTTCCGCATGCCTAAGGCCAAAATAGCTGCTTGTCAAGGTCAGCGAAAATAATGTATGGGTATACGAAATGGCACTTTTAAAATAAACTACATGATTCAGTTTGTTTCAAACTATATATTGTAGTTTGCTTCTTTTTTTTTCTTTTTGGCACAGCGTATATTGGCACACCGTATATTCTTAGGACTTTTAAAAGTTTAGAAAGGCAGCTGCGGTGCTTACTCTGCAAACGTTACATGCGAAAAATCTCTCTTCCAGGGTTTCCCCATAAAGGTCGATGCATTTAGTGAGTTACATTTGATACGGGTATTTTTTAACTAATCAAATAGGCGGACATACACGCAGTGGCCGTCGACAAAATCATCAAAATCTTGGTCCCCATCGGATTATACCACAAAATCAGCATATGATAATCTAAGTGTTGTTCGAATACATTGTTTCATATCAAAGTACATTATCAATCTTTTCAAGAGTCATACTTCAAATTTTGTGTGCTGATGTTATGGCTAAATATTCAAAGAAGTCCTATTGCCCCTACAGTAAGCTTTGGAAGTTTCTTAGTATTTATTGTTCAACACAAAACGCTCGCAGATTGTCTAAATGTTCTATCACTGTCCTTGTGTTTCCAGCATGATTTCTAATGCCAGTTATATATGCCGTCCCGATATCAGCGCCACACCTTGACAGCTCTGGAAAGTCTACGCGCGATATTATACCACTTTACTTTCTTATTTCACTATAAGTGGCTATAAAAATGTAAGTTGTTTCGTGTATATCAAACTTAAACGGAAAACAATTCGTAAGCATAGTTCTTAACCATTTATTCGTAAAAATTTAACCGTAACTTCTTTATTACGTCGTGTTGTGCCGACTCTGGTCTGGAAACGAGCCAGCCTTGTATACGCGTGCAATGGTGAGGCCGACGGCCCAGTGAAGTAGCAAGAGGCCCCACCACCAGAATGAAGCCCTTTTAGTTGTCGTTCTGCAATACATACTCTATATAATGATCTAAGCCATAGGCATTTTGTTCTAAACATAAATCGATTTTGTTTTCACAATTAACGAGGAACAGCTTCATGCAGTTATTCTATAGTAGAGAGCGAAGTGTTCTCTATCACTTCCTTTTTTTCTAAACACGCCTTGACTGACTCTTTATTACATCCAATCTTTGTCACTGGCTGCAGAATTCTACTATAAATTATTTTTGTTTGTTTGTGCTTTGTTTGTTTGCTCGTATTTGTTTTCTAAATGCATCAGGTGCACATGCTACTGTTGCGTATAGTGAAATCTCGATGTCACTGGTACGTGGCAATATGTATGAGCACTTCTTTAAATTAGCCTGGTGCTAAAGCACCATGCGTTCGAGCCGTCTCTAAAGCCACAAGAACGCTGTGGCAGCCACTGCTACGTGTGCGGGACTTTAACAAGTAGGGACTAATGCAACCACGGTTAATTAAAATAGCGCAAGAACTCGCTTATTAGGGGGAAATGGCAGTGATTACTGAAAATTTAGCGTGGTTCCTGTTCACCAGTTGTATTCACCCCAACCCCGCCTTTGTGAAAACGGAGTATGGTAAAAGTTAAAGTGAAGATGTACTTGAACTAACACGCAGTGCGGGCAACTGCTAGTCTATACGTTTTCTATCTTTTGGGCGTCAGCTGTTAGATTGGCCATGGAATACAAAAAAAAATACGCACACACCACATCACCTGAAAAGCTGTGATCTGACTTCAGGAATCACTTATTTGTTTTTGTTTTCGCTTCTGGTTTATGTTTGCTCAACTATCGTCTTCTTTGCTTTTTTACCTTTTTTTTCGCTTTGTGTGTATGTTCGGATTATAAAGTTGAAGCTTGCGTTAGCGCACCGTTTTTTGGTGTTCGTTTGTTTGTGTCCTTATCCTTACCCAGTTCTTCTATCCTATTGTTGCTTGCTCACACAAGCCGGCAAGAAAAGTGATACGACAGATTGCCTCCCCATCTTCAGTTCGGCATTTAATCTAGCTCGCTTCGTCGCATTGCGTGCTCGAATAACACAATACCTGAACGTGCTGGAAGTCGATGGGCACCGAGCTGGTGTCGACGTGGGCGGTGAAGCGACGCAGTGTGGTGACTACCCTGCCGCCGCCTCCCCTCCTCCTCCTCCGCCACCGCCTCCTCCATTCTTGATGACGATGACGTTGGCGGTGTCTCCACCGCCTCCTCCGCCACCACCGATGGCGCCACCGCCGCCGCCACCGCTGACCACGGTTGAAGGAACTTCGATGGCTGTGAAAAAGTTGCGACACCCCTCTCTGAGGTGTTAGAACATAATAGAAAGTACAGGGTCTGGGCATGTTACGTTCGTTGAAGAAATACCGTACTCGCACGGGTATTTATAGATCGCTATCAGGGCCAATCCGCATTAAGTCCGGTCCGGGTCAGGTGCAGCCACACGGCCACTTTTAATCGCGATCATGTCCTATCAGGATGAAGACGATTATAATCTGCTGATTGAAATCCCGTTCCCAGATTGGAATTTGACTGACCTTAGCCCCAAACTCGCCCCGGATCAGTTTGGACCATATAGCAGCTAAGACTGTCGATCGCGATCAAGGCATCCAATTTTAATTGACTCTGATCATGATCTGAAATGCCAGTGTGACACCGTTGTAATAGCCTGGGGGCGTTACATGTTGAATCCTTAACGTCGCTCACAATACAATGGTGCTTACAAGCAGCTGCCACATTAGTTTTGTGGAAAACAGTGGTCCCTTCATTCTATCGCTCGGCTAAAAAAGCCTTGAAGGCGTGGATTAGCCCTCCTAGTATACGAGATTTTATATTAAAATATGTGATGTGACTTTTATGTATTTATTTATCTATTTATTTATTTACTTATTTATTTATTTATTTATTTATTTAGTTTATTTATTTATTTCATACTACAACTTGTGTTGGGGCCTATATAGAGCCATCAATATTTTTCCAGGCTTCCAACTCTTCTTTCACTTTTGAAAATATTCATTATTGGTTGTGAAACAAAAGTTACCTTGTGCCTAATTCAAATGTACAACTTCTGGGCATGGTTTTATTAAATATCTTTAAAGAATCACCCCAAAAAATTTTGATTATTTATCAGCGCTGTACCAGCTCCACATTGGAGACGAGCTTGCTTATGCAGCCTGGCCGCCTGTAATGCATAAGGTTGACAAAGAAACAACTATGAATTTAGAATTTATACTTCAAAGCTTGCCTTTTCTGACGTTGCGGTCTAGTTATAGTTCGCCCTCATGTCACTCGTTGCGTATTTTTTTGACTTACCATTCTCCATTCACTCTTTATTTCCAAGCAGCAGTGTTATCGAAGGCCTAAACTTGCCGATATATTCTGAAGCCCTCAGTAACAGTCAAATACACGATTAGTCAGCTCTCCTTTTCAATCTGAACAGGACAGTGTGACATGCCCAATTTCCCTGACAAATGCCGAATCTGTCAGTGCCGAAAAGCGTGCTCCTTTGCAAGACGACTCTTATTGAGGCGAAGCCAACTTTTATTCACCAAGGGGCGACGTATGGAGTGCGCATGCTGTGAAAATGGCTTGAAATTGACTCTCATTTTTGTAAAACAGTCATGAAGCATGGTTGCAACTCGTTTTTTTTTTTTTGCTAGAAAACATAGGCAGCTTCATCTACTAATGAACTTGTCGCTATGTTGAAAAGTGTGAGGTATTAACGCGAAGGCTTGGACGAGTTGGAGCTCCATTGCACAAGATACTGGCGTGAAAAAAATATACAAATAACAAAGCCAGTGGTCATAAAACAAAGCCAGTGGACAATAACAATAACACAAATAACAAAGCCAGTGGACAATAACAAAGCCAGCGCACCCTGGCCTCGTCATACGTTTATTTCTTCTTTCCTAATATTCTTTGCAGCAGTATAGGGAAAATAGAAAATGCATTTTGACCTTGGCTCAAGTTAGTGAAGTTTCTCTGACCATAAGTTGTAGCTATATAACAGCACCACCACTACATCGAAAGTCAACAAAATCGTGTCACATTTGCGCTAAACACAAACTAGCTATATTCTAAAGTATGTCATGGATTACGCGGCAAATTATTATACTCAAAATCAGCAAAGATCGAAAAAGGATCCCATGGCACTCGTGGAATGAATGCAAACTCCCACAGGTGGACCTTTTTTATATTATTCGTGTTTGTATTGATTCGGTGAGCGAAGCAAAATCAACTTAGTCGTGTGTCTACAGCAATAATAATAATAATAATAATAATAATAATAATAATAATAATAATAATAATAATAATAATAATAATAATAATAATAATAATAATAATAATAATAATGATGATAATGATAATGATAATGATAATGATAATGATAATATAATAATAATAATAATGATAATATAATAATAATAATAATAATAATGATAATAATAATAATAATAATAATAATAATAATAATAATAATAATAATAATAATAATAATAATAATAATAATAACCACGGAGTTTTATGTGCCAAAACCACCATGTGATCATGAGAGGCTTTGGAAATTTAGGCCACCTTGTGTTATTGTGCACTGAGACACCCAGTACAGGTGCCCCTAGCATTTTACTTTCATCGGAATGCGAGCGCCATTGCCAGGATCAAACTGGCGACTTTTGGGTCAACAGCCGAGCGCTATAACCTCTGCTCTACCGCGGCGGACAGTGGCCGAAGTGTCCACATTGTCTAACTTTTTCTCCTTCTGAATCTCTTTTACATCTCTTTCGGCAGCTCTAGCATCTAAAATAATGACCGTCGCGAACCATTGAAACCATTCCTACCTAGAACAGGTAGTAGAGAATAAATAACGTTAATGTTAACCTTTCATGCTTCAATTGGAGCCCCAGGTTTCCTGCTTTGTTTTTCGATTTTTCTTTACCTCCTTCATTACACGTTGTAGTCATCTGAAAGAAATCAGCTACAATGCCCTAATTGTTGCTGGTTTCTCAATATTCCGCCTGAAAGAAAAGAAACAGGGGCGGCTAGTCTCACCTTGGACGCTGACGGCGTGACCACCGCCTCCGCCACCTCCATGTCCACCGCCGAATCCACCTCCTCCACCGTGGCCTCCACCGAATCCGCCACCACCGAATCCACCACCTCCGCCACCGTAGTCACCACCGCCACCTCCGCCTAGTCCTCCACACAGGGCCAAGCCCCAGCAGAGGGACAATATCAGGCCCTGTGGTGATCAAAAAGGACGACAAAGGCGGCATATCAAGTGTCAGCGTCACTTCAAGTCATTATGGTGGAAAGCACAAAAAAAAGTCAAGACGCAGAAACGATCGAAGCAAGGCAGCATCTGTGTCATTGGCCTCTTCTATATGCTTATTTTATGTATCTCGTAAAGCCGATCCTTATTCGTCGAGCAATCTAGTTTCATTACTTCATTTGCCAACTCGAACATCACCTTCTACTTGAACTCTCGTCAATAACTATGGTGCAGTAAGCGCAGTAACGAAAATGAAGGCGATCAAATTTGCCAGCTCATCACGCACTTTATCTGCAATACAAATAGACAACAACACAAATAACGTGTATGCACTTTCAGGGCTCAAGGTAGCCATGCAGATAAGGCAAAAAGTTATTTTCAATTTAGCAGGAGGATGTACCAAACATGCCGCTGATTTAAACATTGCGACTGAACTGAAGGTTGCACCAGTACATTGAATGTTCACCTAACGGCTTTTTACAATGCTTGGTTTTTTGCAGCTGTAATTGTTGTAGAAGTGCCAACCACCGGAGCTCGCTTTTGTCTCGTGGCCAAATACTTGCCACTGTTTCTTACACTGTGACCGTACAGATGGGCAACGAGGAGAACGGTACTGTGGGCGTGCAGGAGTGTACCAACTATAGAAAAGATGCATCTGCTTAAGGTGTATGAATGGCAGACTGGAACGTGTTCGTTTAGCACACTTGAAGTGTACGGTGCTACAAAGACAACAGATACACGCACAGGCACTCAGCGTGTGTTAGTCTCCCTCTATCCGTTGTCGTCATCGCACCTTACACTTCTAGTACCTGCTTAGGGACGTAGTTGCTAAGCTTGTAGCATAGACGCGTGAGACATGAAGGAATCATGCGCAAGTAACCCTTCATTTACTATTTAAGGTAGAAATTTTTCAGTTTAGCTCATAGTTACTGAAATTTATATGGCAGAATAAGCAAAGAATAGCAAGAAATAAGATAGCTAACTGTAGAAGCTAATGTATTTGGCTTAAAATAACGCTAAGGCACCAGTGGTTGTGATATCGAGAAACCTTTCCTGAGAAATCTTTCCTAAAAGGACGCCCCCACTTCCTCAGCATTGTAGCTGCTCTATACGAACGTGATCGATTTTATCTAAAGGGAAGCATAGGGACACTTAGGACGCAGTATCTTTTTAAACTCGGATGTGACACAACTGCTGCCAAAATAATGGAGCCTCCTATGTTAAATAAGGAAAGCAAAGAAAGCACTGTTATCGCCCGGGCGACTGTTCATGCGCGCGGTGAGCTGACTCCTCCTGGCTCGTCCACAGTGGCAACGCGGCCCCATCCCGACTGGCTCTTCCTCGCATTGTCTACGCGCACGGCCGCGCTGGGAAAACAGAGAGGCGGCTTCGTTCGGCCCGCGTGTTTTGGCCGCCGCCTCGCATGCATACGCCTTTGGATAGCGTGTGTGTCACGAGGCGCGTGCGTCTTATCCCGGCGGCTTCCTCCTCGTCGCTTCCTCCACACGACCGGTAGCCACCGCGCGTTCGTCGTGCGACGCCATAGGAAGCGACCACTTTCCTCTTACCTTTGTGATCGCCATGTGTGTGAGATCTCTGTGCTGCGCCGTTTGGGCTCCGAGGAGGCCTCGCTCAGCACTGATGCCGTGTCTCGGGTGGCAGGAGGCTTTTTATAAGGACTATGCTCCTCTCTCCTGATTCTGCGCTGGCCGCGCTGTCCTCCGTCCGGGCGAGGGGTCGCCCGGTGTCGAATGGTAGGGGAGGAAGGAACCAGAGCTTGTCCGGCGTACGAAAGCGGTAAGGAGAGAAGCGAGCGTTCTCGAGGAGGACGCTTTCTCCGGGGAGAACATGAAGAGGCCGCCGGACCCACATTTTCCCTCTCGACGTTCCGTCCTTTGCCCCCTTCTTGCCATTTCCCGGGTCCGGCCAGAAGAGGCACGCCAAAAGACCTCAGCGTCGACGACCCACAGAGAGATCAAGCCGAACAGAAGGTGTATCTATCGTTTCTTTCTTTACTTTGCCCCTCTCCCTATCCACCGCCGCCGCTGTGCTCTCTCAAGAGGGTGAAACGTGCGGCCGGGAGAAAGGGAAAGTGGCGGCGCTGCGAGAGGTAGGTGGCGAAAGCCTGGTAAGCGCAGGTTTCCGGATTATTTTCGCGCGCCTCGTGTAACGCGCGCTTCTTTCTATAACGGTGCTTGTTGCGTCACCTTTGCGCCCTGGTAGCGCGTGTTGCGCGTGAATAATAACATAATGAAACCGAGAGAGACCGTAAGAAATTCGGCCAGGGAAATGGTGATGGTAGTTTGCCGATCACAGAGTAGACTGTCCCGCCGGATCGACGACTTTTTCGTGCCTCAGTGAGAAGCATAATGCCAGCGTGCGTTAAAATTTGTTGTTTGCGGAGCTTCCAAATAACTATTGAAGCTTCCGCATTGGATACGAGGCATGGCTCGTGCGTTTTATTTTCATGACTATTTTCTTTTCCTAAAGCCCAAGCGCACTAGTTTAGTGTTGTCTTTTTTCTTCCCTTTGAACACTTTTGAAGGCAGCTCCATGACACGTAAGTTGAAAGACGTATAAGTGCATTTGCGTTTGAAAGGAACAAGTTTAGTTGGTCACTGTGAGGCATGAAACTCAGTTTGAGCGACTGCCTTCGGCCAAGTCTTTCCTCTTAACTGTGTTGCTGGTTTGTGCATGTCTACTTATAGATTCCGAGATATTTGTGGTCTAAAGCGCTGTAGCGAGCACACAGCATCGGCTGCTTTGTTATGTAGTCCCCAGTGTGACTGATCAGATGTGAATCCTCGCGTTTATTTTCGTTTTTTTTTTCAATAGAACGTGACAACTTCATGCATTCTACTTGTTATGGTTGCATATTTATGACTTGGTGTTTTCACCCTGTGATAAAAACATAATCTGTGGTATTTCATTATTCATCGTAACTTGCCCTACCTTTTTCAACACTCTTTCATCAGAAAGAAACAAGAAACATTTAAAGGTGATACAGGGAAGTTACACGTCGTCAATTGGAAAGGGCCTACTTGTCTTTACAGCAACTTCGAAGTCTACTAGTAAGTAATAGTAAGTGGTATCATTGATCGAATCTACACAGTAACACTCAGGTGACGCAGTGATTTCTGATACTGCTCAGTGTGTTAATGCATTTGAGGCCGATAACATGACTTGAGTGGAATTGGTGTTCATGTGACTCCGATAGAAAAGTATTACAGATGCCATGATGGCAAAGAGAAAGGTCTCATCGAATCACATTTTGATACGTAGTAGTTGCGAGTAGTTAATTGATGTATGCATGTAAGAGGTAGTGGCCAGATACTGCACCAGGGTGGCCAATCCTCCTTTGGTGAGGGAGTGCGTTGCCGGTGGTGGTCACCGGTGAGGCTGCACCCCAGGCTTCTTTATGCAGTTCCATCACCACGCGGATTTTTTCTTTAAATCTGGTTGGGAACTGGGCGGCATTGGCATTCGAACCAAGGACCTTTCGCATGCAAGGCTGGTGCTCTAACCACTGCGCAATCGCTGCTGCTCAAGAGGAAAGTATATAACAGCTGCATCTTGCTGGTACTTAGCTACGTAGCAGAGACCTGGACACTAACAAAGAGGGTTCAGCTTAAATTGAGGACGACGCAGCCAGCAATGGGAAGGAAAATGGTAGGTGTAACCTTAGGAGACAAGAAGAGAGCAGAGTGGATCAGGGAACAAACAGGGGTTAAGGATATCATAGTCGAAATCAATAAGAGGAAATGGACATGGGCCGGGCATGTAGCACGTAGACAGAATAACCGCTGGTCATTAAGGGTAACTAACTGGATTCTCAAAGAAGGCAAGCGGGTTAGGGGGAGACAGAAAGCTAGATGGGCAGATGAGATAAAAAGTTTGAGGGTATAAAATGGCAGCAACAAGCACAGGACCGAGTTGACCGGTAGAACATGGGAGAGGCCTTTGTCCTGCAGTGGACGTAGTAAGGATGATGATGAAGATGACGATGACAACGATGACGACGATTATGATGAATTTAGAGTAGCAGGCAGCTGCTGTTGGAGGTGATTTAGGGTTTCAATAGGTTACGCTAGTTCGCGTAAAGCAGATAGGTCGAGAGAGGAGGAAAATAAAACGGAAAGACAGGAATATCAGCCAATTTCTGATTGGCTCGCTACCTTGTGGTGAAGAAGGGGGTAAAGGGGTAAGAAAATATACAAAATGGACGTCACAAAAGAAGACGAACAACAATAGTACGATTAACGACAAAACTGTCATTTTTAATAATATTGCAACTGTGTTTAGCCCCAGCTTTTTTTTTTTGCCTGTCTGTTCTGACAATCTTCAGGAAAAAAAATTGCCTTTAGGTTGTGGCGCGCTAGTGCGTCTCACAAGAACCTGCCCAGAAGAATACGGTGACGACGACGGTACAGCATGCACGAGATGGTCGCGGCTGTTTTTGTTTGCGTCTGACTAAATGGCTTCAGACGAAATATATGATTGTGGTTTCACAGCATCGACGTCTGTCTGTCTGTTACCACAGGGTCATTGCATTATGGGAGAGAAACACTTCAGCACTTGTTACCTGTACTTAGAATGTAATCTAATTTCTCTGACGCTGTCCCATGCTTCCTTATGTGTTTCAAAGCGCAAGTTTCTTCCTTTCTTTCCTTCTTTCTTTTCTTTCTTTCTTTACGTAAATATGCTGTCATGGTTCATCGATTCGCATATTACTATTCAGAATTCGCTAGTCATCAGTTTGTTTCGCGTGAACCCGTGAAGACATGTGCCGAGTGTCTATTTTAATATACGGAAGTATGACAGCTTCGACCGCTGCAAACGTTTAGGAGCCTGATGAGAACTTTTTTTTTACTTGCATCCTAAATTTTGTCTCCAATTCTGTGCTTGTTTTCAATTCGATTTCACGATGAATTTGAAATAAAATGACGGCTTCGCGTCCTTCTAAAATTATTCTTGGGAAATTCAGCGCCTGTTTACTAAAATTGTAACTAAAAATTCTATTTTTCGCTGACTTTCACGTTCATGGTCACTTGCACGAATAATATTATGAGGCAACCTTGAAAAGGAAAAAAACGCACTGGCGTCGTCTACAAACTACCGTGCCAAGACTATCAGGCGTTCTACATAGGCGATACTGGAAACCTCAAAAAATTACTACACCAACATCATGTTGGTGTAGCCCAATGAACACTGTCTTGACTGGCAAGCGGGTTCTATCATCAGAAAAACCACTTCGCCTGCGCGGAACGCGCAGTAAAGTCACAGGGAAAGCTGGAAGAGTGGCCTTTCAGAGCATTTTTGAACACTGTTGGCGTAACTGCTACGAGCACACTTGCAGGGTACCCACTAAGCCATAAATAATGATACATTTTGTGTAGAAAGCCAACATTCACCATGCTGTGCTCCGGCATTCTTCGGAGAAGGGGGATATTCACTATGTACACTTGCGAAAAATGTTGTGCAAACTTTTTATGCAGTGGCTGACGACTATGAAAAATAACGCCTAAAAAGGGCATGCACCTCAGTTATTTGGGGATGAACAAGCTTTTGTAACAGGTTGGATCGTTGGGCGACACAATCGGTGCGCAATTCGCATTGAAGGCGCCTGGTTGTTATTTTGCCTTTCTAAAAAGCTTTATTACTCATATTAACGCAATTCCCTTTCCGACATCAAGCCTGCCTAAGGCCATGCTAAGGAGTTCCAAGCACCGCCTTGGTTCAGTTCAACTCATAAGTGGTGGTTCTTCATTGAATTTTGTGGGTGTATTTTGTGACTCACTTGTAATTTGTCGAGTATTGAAATGTGACCACTCTTTATATGCTAGGCAATAAAGTAAAAACAATTATCGCGGCTTAGTGGTAGAATACTGGCCTGGCACGCAGGGGACCCAAGTTTGAATTCCATTGTGTCTTCAATGTTTTTTTTTTTTATTTACTGAGTTTGTTTTTGTTCTTTTGTTTTCTGTGATGGTGGTTACGGACACTGGCGGCAGACTATTACAGCGCCGCACGGGACCAGTGATGCGATCTCTTAACAGCTTTCGTTGTAAAAAGTGGAGAGAATATCATCCCGCCTACTCATCGAATTTTTCTGCACAGAATCTACAACTAATACGACAAATCGAACACGGGGTACACTGCCTGAGGTACACGCACGCACGTTGCATCTTTGGATTGGTGTATAATAAAGACCGCCGTGCATTCGCCCATTGTGAACACGACACCCGTATGGGGTACCGAAATGTCAATTCTCATGTTTTTTTTTGTTTTTTTCTTTGGTGAGTAATTTTTTTCAACCATAAATCTTCTCCAGAAGAGTTTTCATCAAACCTTAGAGTTCACCAATATCATAATATGGTTTTTGAAGATTGTGCCAGAAAATTATTCAGTCAATTTTCGATTTTGCAGTTTGTTTCAATTTATTGGTTACATTTGCATCAGTTACAAAATATTTGTGTACATATGAGAATCCCAGAGTATAAATACTAGGAAACTGGACCCTGAGTTCAAAATTATTAGAAAAGTGAATTTAAAAATTGACACAAGATAAGTAGGTGATGAATAAGAAGTAACAATTTAAACAAGTTATCAAATAATATAAAAACAACTAAACATACTATAAAACACAAAGTACAAATACTGTACAGCAATGATAGAAGAAAAAATAACAATGAATCACAAGGCGACAAAATAACAACAGGCATGAACAGTTGACATATCAGGTGCCATTGAAGGAATACAATAAAATAAAAAGCAGAATGCGAAATACAATATACAAGGCAATATAATGCGAAGTCTTCATACAGTAAAAACAAAACGCAATGAAAGTAAGAAAGTGTTAAAGTGTAATTGAAAATAGAATAACCTTTTTATCGAATAAAAAGTAAAATGAAAACATCTCATATAAAAGT